TCGCGGACGTCGTCTGGATCCCAAGAGTCTCTTGGCGCAGTAGAGACGTCGGCAGAATGGCAGCCCACCCCTCAAATACAGCACCGCCTTTACTACCTTAATAATTTCCTCAGAATGGCTACTGAAGGCAGGGTCAGCCCGGTGAGGTCACAGTGTCAATGTGACGTTCTTACTATGTCATCCAGAACCCAGCGCTACTACCGGAAAAAAGCGGAGCAGGCTATCGAAGGCGTGCTTGAATCCATTGCCCCTGGCAACGCCTCCTGGCTCTACCACCAAGTCATGCAACGGCGGATTCGTTTACAAGCGGCCGGGGGTATAGTCGAAGACACGCTGGTTGCCAGACTGGTGATTCTGTATGACGAAGCCGCCTATTGGTACACGAGACAGCAGATCCTGTCGCTTTTCGTGAACGACTACTCGAAGAGCGAGCTATTGGCTTTGATTCCGGGTCTCTCAAAATGGAGAATCGACGAGGCAAGGAAGCACGTTTTCCAAACTAAGCCCGGGCAACCCATTGACCCACCAGGGATCACCAGATGCCGTTTGGATGCTGTGAAAGTTGACCACTTTCTTGACTTCTTGTCCAGTCCATCAATTCTTCAAGATGTGGCATATGGCACCCGAACTCTTAAACTGGAGAGTGGAGAGAGCTTAGAAATCCCGAACATGGTGCGCACAGTTATATCCTCCCACCTAGTGCGCATGTACCTGAACTTTTGTGTAGAGTCCAATTTTGAGCCTCTCGGACGCTCCACGCTCTTCAATATAATCAAGGTACGGATTATAAAACGTTCGTAAAGGACGAATTTTGATCAGGGTTAATTGTAGTTGTAGTGGTGGTGTAGTGGTAGTAATGGTTTGCATTTAGAATTAGTTTGAAACCAAAGCATTTTTGTTTCTGTTCAGGTTCGTGGGGCTTCACTAAAGAAATCGTTAGCCGGTCTCGATAGCACTCAGACAGATGGGGTACAGGTGCTCGCCACTCTTGAAGACATCACTCATCAGCTCAAACAAGCCGGTGAGATACAAACACCTCCCATTATTACTGTAGGTATACGAGTTGTCACAACTTTTAATAAGCTGACGGAGTATCAATATTTATTATTGTGTGTATTGTTTCTATCACAGGACTGGATAGCACAATGGCCGATAACATTCTAATGCGACTCAAAGCAGGTCGGCAGTATCTGAGGACGGATTTCAAGATCCAAACAGCCAGCGAAACCTCGTGCGCAGATCACTGCAGAGTGTTCGCCCTCAGTAGGACAAAGAAAGAGTACAACGGTCAGTGCCAACATCAGCCTACCATCACCTGTGACCGATGCGAAGACCTAAAGAATGCTGTCTCAGATCTGCAACTAGCGTTGGATTCAGGTGAAGTACATCTGAGGTAAGAGCATCTTTGTGACAGAAAAGCAGAGTTTAGCATTTATTGTCAACTAACAACCTAATCCCCAGGGCGCTTTATATGAGTTTAGAAATTTTAAATTGCTTTGGGTGGTTCTAAACCTAATGAACATATGTTTTAAATGAAACGCAGTTTACGAAAAAAAGTGAGAGAGGCATCATTATTTTTTGATAAAACGGCTCCAAAGAAAAATTTCTGAGGCTATCGCTCCGTGATGTTGACAAGCTCTACTCTTTCCCTTTTTAGTCCTGATAAACGAGAGGAGTTGCATCATGGTTTGAGCTGCGCAGCGCCGAGCATAGAAGATTGGAAGTCGCACGTTCTCCGTTCAGTTCACCAGGATGCGGCCAAGAGCGAAATTGTTCATAGCCTGAAACCATCACAGGTGCTGCTAATAATGGACTGGGCGATGAAGTTTATTCCAACCAGCTTTCACAAAACGCAGCGCGACTGGTTTGGAAAGAAGGGGAAGTCCTTGCATCTCTCGGTGGCCATCACTAAAGCAGAAGATGGAACAATTGAGGTAGAAATCATGTGCCTTCTCTTCTGTCTTTATCGCTCACTGACCACTATAAACTAGTTTCTCGTGAGCGCGGTCTTTGTTGCGCTAATCGATTGCAAAATTGGATAACTGATAAGAATGCCAGGCCGAGAAAAGACGCGAAAGCTTAAATTCCTAACAGTGAATTTCAACATTTCATTGCTTTCGCCACTTATATAAAGATAAAACGTTGGCGACGCACGTAAGCGCGCGCAAAAGCTCATGAGACGGAATACATTTTTAATCCAAATACAAGGCCATAAACATTCTCGAAAAAAGCACACTTTCCCGGGTGTTATCTCTATTTCAAGTCAAAATGCGCAAGTTAATACTCCATTAGCCCTTGACTGTGACCAGGTCCCTTGGCGCACTATTCATGCTAAAAAATGCTTTACTATTATGATTTTCAGACACGTACACATATCCACTTATTTGATGAATGCAATCAAAACTGGTTCAGCGTTGCCTTCATCATCGAAAATTCACTAACCACCATGAAGCGACAGAAATCTAGACTGAATGAAGCTTTCCTAAGATCTGACAACGCAGGCTGTTATCACTGCGCATTTCTTCTTCTCAGTCTTCCAAGCCTTGGACAGCGGGTTGGTGTCCGCATAGCTCGTTATGACTTCAGTGAGGCC